CATGTTTTCCTAATTTGCACGAAATTTTATACCACATGATGTGCCTTGCCTTCGAAGCCTAAGTATTACTGGACCCGATATCAGTGCGAGGGAGTCGCTGCATGCCCGGGGCTCCCGGGGGGCCGGGGGGACAGGGGCGGCTGCCCCCCCCCCCTCGCCTCCTGCATGGCTTCTTCTCGGCCGGAAAAGTCCCTTTTTCTCTCTATTATTCTTCTTTTTTAGCCGATTTTCCCCCTCAGAAACGTCTTCCAGTTGGTAATACCGATGCATCCTCTGCGCCAACACACCGGAATATGCAATAGCTGCGGGGGGGGCCGGCCGGGGGGGCGGCCACCCTTTTGCTTTGCCTCTCTTTTCTTTGTTTTCCTTCCCTTTTGGGGGGTTTTTATTTGGTTTTTTTTCTGCTTCCAGCAACCAAAGGCAGCGAGGCGGGAGGCGGCAGGGACCCCCGGGCCAGAGCCCCCCAGAACGCTCGGGGCGGGGGGGAACCCGGTGTTCGGGCGCGGCAGAACGGAGGGGGACGTGGAGGGGTCCGTGCGGGGAGGAGCAGGGATGGAGACCCCCATGGCTGGCCCTTACGGGGGGGCCACAGCGTCCCACCCCCCCTTAGGGGATCCCCGCTTTTTAATTGGTGTTCAATGGGGCGCAGGGCCAGGAGGGCTGAGCCCGGCTGCTCTCGTGACAGGAATGGAACCGTGTGAATGTAGCTGTGCCCCCCCACCCCGGGCTGGTGTCGGGGGGGTCACAGCCTCCCCCTCACCCCCATCCCCATCGGCTTCATCCCCGGGGGTCCGGCTGGCGCAGCAGGGAATGGCAGGAGGTGCCCTCTACCCGCTTCTCCCTGCTGTGCCCGCCGCAGAGCAGGGGCCCGACACCCCCAAAAACCCCAGAATTTGCCTTAAAACCCCAGCGTTCCGCCGGCCGGAGGGACGCCCCCCACAGCCCTCTGAGGCTGACGCGGGTCGTGACACCGGTGGGCGGGTGGCACCGGCATCGCTGCTGCTCGGGCATGAAGAAACGTCGTCGTCAACAGTTTTTAAAATTTTTAATTTTGGTTTTGTTTTATTTTTTTGGTGCCCAAAAGTATTAGTGGGGGATGGCGGGGGAAGGGGGTCGCGTCCCGCTGGGTTTTGCCCACCGGTGAGGCTGGTGTGGGGGTCCCCCGGGAAGGGGAACAGCCTTGGGAGCCGCTTCTTTATGCAAGGTGCAGTATTGATTTCTGCAAGGACAATGCAAGGAGGGAGCGGGGGGGTGGGGGAGGACGGCGTCCAGTTGGGGGGGGGGAGGAATGAAAAATAGAGCAAAAAAAAAAAGACAAAATTGAAAAAAAAAAAAAAAAAAGAAAATTTTAAAAAAAATAGAAAAACAGAAAACATAAAAAGGGGGTTTAGGCTGGAAAAGGCTCAGCTCAAAGCAAAAAATATAGGAAAAAAAAAAAAGAAAGAAAAAGCATTTTTCAGCGGTGACAGTGACAGCGGAGGGAGGGGGGGGCACCAGGGCAGCCCCCTCGGCAAACCCTGGGGAGGCGAGGGGCGCTGGCGCCCCTCGGGCCTGGCCCCCCCCCCCCCCCCCCCCCGGGGGCCCCCCCCCCCCCCCCCCCCCCCGGGGCCCCCCCCGAGCCCCCCCCCCCGCGGGGACACCACCGGGGCCGCCCCCTGCCCCCCTCTTGCTGCCTCCCCACCCCGGGCCGGCAGCACGTCCGGCCGGGCTGCGGCCGCAGCCCCCCAAAACCCGCCCTCGGCAAGAAAAGCACCTTAAACCATGTTAAAAAAAGGCAAAAAAAGAATCAACTCGACGCCCCCCAGGCCATAGGGCGGCAGCGGGGGGGCCGGGCCGGGGGCTTCCCCTTGGGGAGCCGGGGAGCCCCCCGCGCCCCCGGGGTCTTTGCACTGCTCCCCCGACACCCCCTCGGGGCCGCAATCCCGGCTCTGCCCAAAGGGAATATGCAACACCCCCCGGTCCCTCCCCGGGGGGCACCACTCATTTTTATTATTTCTATTTTTTTAATCATTCTCCCTTTTTTTTTTTTTTTTTTATCCCCCGGCGGCCTCGATGGCCGCGGTCGGGGTGGGCGCAAAGCCGCGGGGGGGAGGGGGGGAACACAGGCCCCATCCCTGGGGATGCCCCGGGGGAGTCCCACACAGGATGGGGACGCGAGGGGGCTCCGCTCGACAATCACCGCGGGGGTTTCATGCACTACAGTCTCTCCTAGAGGGTTTTTAGTCGGGCTCGTCGGCTTAAAAAAATTAATTAAAAATAGTCCTCGTGACCTATAAATAAAACAAATAACCTGTACATATATATATATATATATCTCCACATATATATATATGGGGCTGCAGGGCCGGGGGGGCGCGGGCCCACGGGCCCACACACAGTTAAGGTACTTTAAATCGCAAAGGAATATATATATATATATATATATATATATATATATAAAATCCCCTATATATATATATATGTCTTGTTTGGTGGGGTTTGGGTTCTTTTTTGGATTTCGGGGGTTTTTTTGTAGTTTTGTTTTGTTTGTTTGGGGTTTTTTTGTACTCGGAGTTTGGAATTTGCTGCTTTCTGCCCCCAGCCCGGGGATCCCAGCGCCGGCTGGGGACCCGCTGGGTGCCCCCGGTGGTGGGTGCCCCGCGAGATGCCCACGGGTGACCCTCTGGGTCTCCTGTGCGATGCCCGTGGGTGTCACTCTGGGTGTTCCGGGTGACGCCCACGGGCGCCCCGATGGGTGCCCCGATGGATACTCCAGGTGATGCCCGTGGATGCTCCTCTGGATGCTCCAGGTGATGCCTGTGCGTGACTCTCTGGGTGCCCCGGGCGGTGCTCACAGGTGCCCTGCTGGGTAGACAGAGGAATACCCACGGGGGTCCCTCTGGTGCCCACGAGGGTCCCTCTGGGTGGTCCAGGTGATGCCCCTCTGGGTGCCCCTGAAGATACCCGTGTGTGCCCCGGGTAGAATCACGGGTGCCCCTCGGGGTGTCCCGGGGAGACCCCCAGGTGCCCCTCTGGGTACCCCGGTCCGTGGGTGCCCCTCTGGGTGCCCCCATGCCCCACTGGGCGCCCCGCGCGATGCCCGCGGGCAGGCGGGAGGGAGAGCCGGGGTGTGGGGGGCAAAACCCACCCCGGGGCAAAGAGCGGCAAAAAGGAGAGAAACCGCCCCAAAAAGGCGCCGAGGCGGCAGCCGGCCGGACCGCGCCTCACCCAAACCAAAAATCCCGCCGCAGTGCCTCCGCGCCGCCGGCTGCCCCCGCCCGCCTTTTCGGGGGTCCCCGCTCCCCCCGGGGGGGGCAGGGGCTGCCCCCCCCCCCCCCCCCCCCCCCCCCCCGCAGTTATATTTTACTCGTTCGCCGGATTCTCGCTTTGCTTTGCCGCAGCCGATACACACCGCGAGCGCACCAGGGCCGCGAGCCGGGGCCGGGCCCCCCTGGCTGTGCCCCCCCCGCGGCCCCCGGCCCCGCATGACCCCCCCCGAGCCCCCGCTCGCCTCCCTGGTGCTTCACGATATTTGATTATACCATTGTACGCAGCCATTACCGATAGCGCCGCTCCTGCCTACATACACTTACTGACCCTGATACGGATTTTTGGGGGTTTTTTTTGGTTTTCTTTTTCGTTTTGTTTCTTTTGTTTTCTTTTAGTTTTGGGGGTTTTTTTTGTTGGGTTGTTTTTGGTTTTTTTTTTTTTTTTGGTTGTTCCCCCCCCCTCCCCTATGCAAAAAAGAGAAAAAAGAGACAAAAAAGAAGAAAAAAACAAAAAAGAAAAAACTGACACACAAAAAAAAGATTAAAAAAACGAAAAGGAAAAAAAAAAAAGACAAAAAAAAAATGTATAAAAATTAAACAAGCTATGCTTCAACTCCAGCTCGCCTCCGCCCTTCCTTCGCTGCCCCGGGAGAAACTGAGGCACGGCCGGGGACAGACCGGGTGTCCCAGCGGGGGGGTGAACTGGGGGACACTGGGATGTACTGGAACAAAGCTCTGCCTGGTGGTGGGCACCCATCACCCCGGAGGAGGGACACCCACCCGTAGGCGGGCGGGGCTGCGGGGGGGGCAGGGAGGGGACACGTGGGGACAGGGACACGGGTGGGGGCAGCCGTGGATTCACGTGGGGGGGTTCAGAGCTGCTGCCACCTCTTCTGCGTCGGGACCTCGGCCACGCGACGTCACTGCCTCGTGCGCGTGACGTCATCGCATGACAGCGACGTCATCGCCCTCACCCCTAGGGCGCGAAGCCGCGCAGTCACCCCTCCTTGTCCCCATCGCCCCTGTCCCCAAGCGCTGCTCAGGACAGCCGAGGGGCGAGGCCGCCCGCCCCCCTCCAGTGCTCCCCAGCCCCCCGCCCCCTCGCTGTCCCCCCTCGGCCCGGCCTTGTCGGAGCAGCGGCGTGGCCGGACAAGGTGTCTCGCCGTGCCGAGGTCTCTGAGGTCTGGCAGCTCGGAAACTGCCACTGTCCCCTGCCCCGATGGCACCCGGGGGTGCCCCCATCGCCCCCCCAGCACCTCGCAGTGCAGAAGAGCCCCCTCCCCAGCGCGGTGACACCAAACGCTTGCCGCCGGAGCAGGCTGGGACCTTTACTGGGCACGGCTGGGAAGGGGGCTGGGACCCACGGCCAGCCCAGGGCTGGGGGGGTCAGGGGGTCCCGCTACGGTTCCCGGCCACCGCCCTCCCCACTCCGCTCCGGTGGACGGAGAATCCACGCCGGGTCTTGGCCGCAGCCGGGGCGGCCGCGGGGCGGGAGGTGCCACCGTGGCCGCGGCTGCCTCCGAAACCCGGCGCGGAGCCGCACCCGCGGACGGGGTGAGGGCACGGCGACGGCGCCCCGGGGTGGGCAGTGGGGGCCAGGAGAGCTCAGAGGGGCGTGGCATTGGATTCCTTCTTGCCGCCGCTCTCCTCGTCGCTGTCCTCGGCCGCCGGGTTGTCGTGGCTGAAGCGCTCCATCCTGCGGGAGGGAGGGAACGCGGGTCAGCCGGGCACGGCCGCCCCGACGGCACCGGCACTGCGGCCGTGCCAGGGGCACGCGGGGTACCGCGGGACCACCGGGCCGCCACGGCACACCGGCCACCACGGCACCGCCGGCACGTGGCCACCCTCGGGGGGATCCAAGCCCCACTAGGGAGGAGGTCCCGGTGCCACCCCACCGCCCCCCACAGGGCCGTGGTACCTGTCAGTCCCCTTGGTCTCCGGGTAGTCGCTCTGCTTCCTGCGAGGCAAGAGAGGGGCTGAGTGGTGCTTGGGGACAGCCCTGTCCCCACCCCATGGCTTCCTGCCACACGGCCCCCCTGCCAGCACCCCCCGGCCCCCACCTGCGCTTCCTGAGACTCCAGAACCGGTTAATGATCAGCACCACGAAGACGACGAAGAGGAAGACGACGACGACCGTGAGGCCCAGGAGCCAAGGCTGCAGCACCTTTGGGCCGGTGCCTACATGGCAGGGGAACGGGTACAGGGGATGGCAAAAGGTGGGGATGGGGACAGCTCCATCCTGCAAGGGATGGGATCCCCCAAACCCTGGTACGGGGCCCCAGTTGTGGGGAGCACACTGGGGACACCAGGGGACATTGGCAGACACTCATCATTCCCCCTTCCCGCTATCCCTTGGGTGCCAAGGAAGCCACCTCTGACACAGCCCACCCGTGCCCAGCAGAGCGTGGGGGTGCCTGGCATGGTGGGGAGCACTGGGGACAGCAGGCAGGTGCCCCCAAATCTTTCTGCTCTGCCCCCAAAAGGGTTGCTGCAGGAACAGACTGTTCCCACTTGGAAGGTCTCTCAGATGCCTTGGGGTGGGCATGGCCACCCCCCCAGGCACCCCAGGGGCACGGGAGGGGCATGGGGCACCTACTGGTCTGTCCCCGGGCGGTGGCGGCGAGGACGAGCAGGACCAGGAGCGAGAGGGGCTGCGAGGGCCGCAGCATTTTCGGGCAGAGGGCTCGGGCACGGCTGGGTCCTGCTCCTCGAGATGAGCTCCTGTCCCCGCCGGGCTGGGCGTTGTCTCTGCACCGAGGGCAACGGGCACCTTTATTGGCCTCCCGGGGACAAGTGTCACCAAGCGCCATGGCAACGTGACTCCTGTCACTCGTGGGAGGTGGCACCTCTCCCCTGGCTCAGGCACCTCGGGGACCACGGTGGTCCCCCCGTGCCCAGGACTGGGAACCACCCCAAAGGGTTGGTAAGTGGACAGAGGAGAGGATGGATGGATGGACAGTAAGGTGGGTGGGGGGTGGGAGGACAGACTGGTGGAGGGAGGTGTGGATGAGTGCTCATTCTGCCTGCTGCCCCACCTCAGCCTTCCCTCTCTACCTCTGGGGTGCCACTTCACCCCCACTGGCAGGGCTGGGGCAGATCCCATGGGGGTGGAGCAGCACAAGGGGCAACAGGCAGTGCCAGGCCACTCCCAGCCCTTCCCCAGGCCTCCAGAGGATCCCAGTTCGTGCCAGGTGGACTCCATCCCGTCCCAAGGAGTGCCTGGTACTGTCCCCAGCTGAATATTAATGGTGTCATTGGGGAGATCACCAGGGCACAGGGGAAACTGAGGTATGGGGTGGCCAACAACACCCCAGGGATGGACAGGGGGTTCTGGCAGGACCACCCTGACTGTGGTGATTTCCTGAGGGGTGAAGGAGCCTGGGGACACAAGGACAGGGGCCCCACTGCAGGGGTGGGGACAGGGGATCCAGCCCCAGCCTGGGTTTCAGGCAGGGGTTGTGGGTCTGTATGACAGCCCCCATGTCCCAGTGCCCTCACCCTGGGCCACAGAGAGGCTCATGGGTACTTTGCCCCCGAAGACTGGCTTTGGAGCATCTGTGGGTGCTACTGGGCACAGCCTGGCAGTGCCAGGGCACCAAGGGGAAGGTGGGGCAGCAAAGCCTCGGTGTCTGTCTGTCCGTCCCTCCCTCTGTGCCTGTGCTGATGTGGGCCCCCCCGAAGGTGTTTGCATCCATGTTTCCCTGTTTCCATGTGCACACCCGTGTCTGTGCCCCCTGCCCACAAGTGTCTGTGCCCCCATGCCAGGGGTTTGCACCACTAAGCACCACTAAGCACCCACCTTTACACACCCAAGTGTGTCCACGTGTGCACCCACACACGTGTCCCGCCCCACGTGCCCATGCCCAAGGGTGGCACGGTTGTGCCAAGGGATGCTGTTACCCCTGGCAAAGGTTCGGGTCCCAGCCCTGCTGTGCTGGGCCAAGGGGTGACCAGGGCTGGGGCAGGCAGCTCTGCTGGGTGAGGACCTGGGGGGAGCGCTGGGGCTGGGCAGGGAGGAGGAAGCCCTGGCAGCATCTGTGCTGTGACCTGACAGTCGGGCAGGGCTGTGGGGTCCGCTGGTGGCAGGGGAGGTCCCCTGGCCCTAGAAGAACCTCTTCTTGGGGGAGTCAGCGAAGGAGACGGAGCTGCGTGGGGCCAGCAGTGCCAGTGGGACGTCCATGCCGGGCAGGACCCCGGCGCCTTCACCCTCCACCTTCCGCTCCACCAGCACCTCGTCCTCCTCCAACCACTCCACCTCCGGCACGGTGCCCTCGGCCATCACCGCCTTCTCCTCCTCCGGCTTGGGCCCGAACGCCCAGTCTGCAGGGGCAGGGACGGAGCCATCAGCAGCACAGTCCCGCTGCGGAACAGGCTCCGGGCGGGGGGGATGCCCCTGCCCCCGGCCCCCCCAAAGCTTGACCCCGCTCTGGGCAGCACTCACCAGCAAAGTCGTGCACCAGGTCCTTGATGAGGTGCCCCACGATGGCATAGGCCACCACCAGCACCAGCGTGGCCGCCATCACCAGGTATAGGACGTAGCGGGGCAGGCGGATGCTGTCCAGGGCCGGGGGCTTGTAGTCCACGTACAGCACTCCGTCCTCCTCGGGGGGGGACTGCAGCAAGTGCCGCGGCCCCCACACTCCCCCTGCCAGGGCCATGGCCAGCTCCCCCCACACCTCTGCCGGCAGTTCACAGGGACAGCGGTGTCCCCATGGCCAGTGGCAGTGCCACTCGCCCTCCGTGCCACGGGAGCTGTGCTGCTGAGGAGGAGCTTAGCGCCTGCTAATCCGGGCACAGCCCAGCTGCCTCAGCCTGGGGGGGACCACTGGGCTCCGACGTGAGTCAGGGTACCCCAAACTGCCCCTCTGGCAGCACCGCAGGTACCTCAATTCCCCCCTGGGAGTGGGGAATCACCTGCAGCTGGAGAACTCCTAAGGGCAGGGATGGGGAGGGATGCCCGAGTCCTCCCCTCCCTCCCCCAGGCTGAGTTAAATCCGTGAGCAGGCCTCGGATCCCTGGAGCAGATGGTGTGAGATCCAGGAGGACACGGTGCCCTCGGAGCTGGGAACTGATGGGCAGAGGGGATGGGGATGCAGCCCCAGTCAGGGGGGCTCCTGCAGGACTCCCTTCACTGGGTGGTGGAGCAGCCCATGGTGAGGGGCTGTCACCTTTCCAGAGCTTCACAACGGCTGTCACACGTGGCAGCCCAGTGCCCAGTGTGCCCCCAGTGCCCAGTGTGACTCCCCAGAGCCGAGCAGCCTGCAGGGGGGTGTGGGGTCCAGACATCCCCCAAAAGCGATTCCTCCCACACCCAGGAGGATGGGGTTTGGTCAGGACCAGCAGCAGCTTTGGAAAAACCCTTCCTAGCACAGGCTGGATAGAGAGGGGTGAAGGTGCTGGCAGATTTGGTGCCAAGCCAGGACTCAAGGCCCAGTCCTGCTCCACTCCAGCACCTCCCAGCTCTGCTGCACCAGGTCACTCTACCACTCACCCTCCATGTCACACACAGCTGACCCCATCCACAGAAACAGGGCACGTGGGACTGACTTGCAGTGTGTACAAGTGATCAAAACTGGTCACATCTTGAGTAAGACCCCCTTCCCTGGGGTCCTGAACTGGGTCAGACTGGGCCATGGCCAGGGCTGCCCCTTGCTTGTGTCCCTGAGCACCAGAGCCCTGGGGATGCTGAGCCAGCCACAGGGACTAAGAGGATTGAGCCTGGGAGTGACTCGCAGGGAGCCCTTGGACAAGGGGAAGAGCCAGCCATGCCCAGAAGGGAGCCAGGCCCTCGGAGCAGTGGGACCCACTGGCCCTTCTGCTGGGCAGTGCTGGGGGGGGCTCCCAGGGCACCCCATGGGCAACGTCCACCCTCCCTCCAGGGCTGTGGGGTTTTACCCCACACTACCAGGCACCCCACTCCCTGCTCTCTCCTTCCACCACAGCTGGACTTTATTTGAAAGATCCTTTCCAACTTTGATGGTTCTATGATTCCGTTGCAGCAACCCCTGGACTCCCCGCTGGGGTCCAACCCTGTGGCACTGGGGGCACCTCACACCTGGGCACAGAGAAATCACAGCTCCACTCACTCCAGCTCCCTGTGCCAGTGCTTTATTCCCTGCCAGCCCCCCCGGCGCCCAGGCTGGGCTGGCCACAGGGTTTGGGTTTGGGTGCCAGCAGCAGCCTCAGCCCTCCTGGCTCTGGTTAAACACGAGGGGATGCCCGGGCAGGCTCTACCTCACCCTGCCCGCCCTAATGGCAGCACCATTCCCTGCAGAAAGAAAAAACAGCCAAACCTTCCCAACTTTGCCACGAAACAACCCCCATCCCAGGGCAGAGGCTGCCACAGGCTCAGCCCCAGCCTGTCCCAACAGGAGAGGCCAAACCCACCACGGGGGCGAGGAGGGCCCCGGCTCAGCACCAGCACCGAGGGCAATTTAGAAGCATCCCAACACCACAACCCACAGAGCGGGTGCCCAAAGCCCATCCTGGCCCCCAGCAAAGCTCAGGTGGGGAGAACAGAGCCGTTCCACACCGAGCCGACGTGGCAGCACCAAGGCAGAGCAGCCTCAAGCCCTGCAGAGCCACGGCAGGCTCCGACCTGCCGAGCAGAGCCCACCTGGTCCAAGCCCCAAGCCAGGCTGCGGGCAGGCAGTGCTGATCCTGGCAGGGAGAACAGGGGCAGATCCAGGAAACAGGGGCTGGTGGGAGGCAAGTAGCAGCTCAGCCTGGATTTGGAGCGAAAAGGTGGTTGTAGGTGTGCCAGCGAGAGCAAATCTAGTTCCTCCTCCACCTCCGCGCGGCAAAGCCAACAGGGGCAGCCACGGCAGCACCATCGGCAGCGGGAGGGGGCGAGGGGCAGCGTGTCCCCCCCGGTGCCCCCCGTGCAGGCTCAGGGGGAGGCCTGCAGCTTGCAGAGCCCGTCGGCGTACTGGAACTGGGCGCCGTTCTCGTACTCGTACATGTCCAGGGCCACCTGGCAGCTCTCGCGCACCACGCGCTCCCCGTCGCCGGCGAAGGCGCGCAGGGCGCGCAGGCAGGACGGGCGCGCGATGGCCCCCAGCGCCTCGGCGCACTCGTGCCGCACCATGGGGCTCTCGGAGGGGCTGCACAGCACGGCCGTGAGCTGAGGGACGCACGCCTCGTCCTGCAGCTGCCCCAGCACGTACCCGACCTCGTGGCGGAACAGCGCGCTGCCGCAGCGCAGCCCTGCGGAGAGGGGGCGGGGAGAGGGGGCAGTGAGATGAGACGCCCCGAGGGGAAGCTGGGGGATGCCGTGGGTCACCACCCCACCCCATGGGAAGGGGTATCCTGCTCCTTGATCCCAACCTTGCTCCGATGCCCTCCCGTGATGGCAGCACCCACTCCCCTGGCAGAGCTGCCACCCCCCACCTGCCCCGGGCCCTGCCCCACCACACAATTTCCAGCAGGACTGGTAGCCACAGTCTCCAGCCTTCTGGGACAGAGCAGCTGGAGCAGGAGCTGACAGATCCTATCTCATGGACCTGGAGGTCCCAGATGGCTGGAGAGCCTCATCCACTTCCCTCAGGCTGGGGGGTTGGGGGGCTGGTCCAAACAGTTCCTGGGCCATGGAGACATTTACTCCCCTCTCCAGAGCTACTCCCAAACCCCAGCAGTCTCTGACTTTCCAGGCCAGGAGAGCAGGACCTCAAGACCCTGGGGCCAGGTCAGACAAGCTGGTCCCAGGCCATCATCACAGCCTGTGCCGTCCCACCCTGACCCTTTAGGGAAGGGGGTCTGGAGGGTGGCAAGGGGGCTCTGGAACACACCAGAGACCACCCAGCACTCGGCGATGTGGCAGGGGGGCAGCAGCTCTGGACACAAAC